TATGTAGTTGATATTTCCCTTAAATTGACTATTACACCTATGTAAATAGGATGTTATTGTTAATTGAAGTTATGGATTGGATCGTGTATTTATTATTATTATTGGGGAACAGTCCCGCTTTTCCTTTTGTAATAACACTTATACATATAAAAATTAAATAAAAATATTTACTTCAAATACACCATTTTTATTAGTAAATTCAAGAGGTATATATGGTATTATACCAAATTTTCCTGATTTTTTGGCTTTACCTTCCTTTGTTAAAATGGAACAATTAAAGTCTATCAACTTGCAAAATTTCAAAGGAACATTTAAATTATGTCCATGGGGGATGACAAAATTGTTTGGTTTAATATCCAGATGAATACCATCTAAATATTTGATTAACTAATATATTGTTTTAAAATTAATAATTCAAAAAGCCCCCAAAGTTTTAAAATAAAGACTTAAACTTTTTTAAGTTTTTCAACTGCTCTTTTCATCATGATCTAAAATCTCGTAATACAGAGTACTTTGAAAAATAATATTTCGAAAAATATTTTAACCCACTTAAAGCATATGTAAAAATTTTGTTTTAGGCCTAAATGATAGCCCATAAAATTTGCTATAAAATCTTTCCCAAGTTTCGATAAAATACCCACGTTTATATTGAATCATTTAAAATAAATGATCCCAAAAAATTTAGAAGTTTCATTAAAGTATCAGAATCTAAATAAAATTCTAGTAAAATTAACCTTGAGCGTTATTGGTGGTTTTTTTTAAGGTATAATATTAAATTTATCTATGTTTACTTTTCATTTTTTAATACATATAATTTTTTTTTTTTGATGTTGTTTCATACATATATATATTTTTTTTTTGACATTAATTTATTTTTATGTTTTTTTTTGCACCACATTAATGTATTTTAAAATACCTGTGGTTTGCTGATAAATAAATAAATAAATTATGAAATTGTTGAATTGCTACTGCAGCACATTTAAGCATATTTTTTATAATTTCTTCATGTATGCTCTCTTGATAGCTATAATTTGCTCCTATTTTCTGTTGAAAGTAAGCTAATAAATTCATTCCTCCAAGTTCCAAAACAATATTCGCTGGAGTATTTGTTTCCATATTTCCTTTGTTACTTAAAAAGTAAGCATGGTTAAAAATAGGGTTAAGGTTTTTAGACCGGGCCGACGTTTAAGTCATTTTTTCCGGCCTTAAAATTCGATGCTCGACTGATTCTTTCGGAACGAACCGGGCCCCAACCCTTGTTAAGTAAGAAAGTGTATTGGCACGGGTGATTTGTAGAGCTGTCCGAGACTCTTGGTCTTGGTCTTGGAACCAAGACTTTTCTTGGTTTTTTTCGGTCTTGGTCTTGGTCTTGGGGTGTTTGTCTTGGTCTTGTCTTGGTTTTATTTTTTGGTCTTGGTTTTTTGGCCTTTTTGGACCTAGTGCTTGGCCATCCAAAATCCTCAAAATTTTCGCCTGCGACGCAGAAAATGGAAGAAATCTGGCTTCTTGAGTCCCAAAATTCTCAAAATTTTTGCCTGCGGCGCAGGAAAAGGAAGATTTTTGGCTTCTCGGCCTTCATAATTCCCAAAATTTTCGCCTGCGGCGCTGGAAAATGAAGAATTCTGGCTTCTTGGCCTTCCAAAATTGTACAAATTTTCGCATGCGCGCAAAAAGATAGGGATAAAATAGAGGATGGATATCAGCAGCCACCATCACCTAATCACCCAGGCCCCCCAACTTCATACTATTCCTTTTGATCCCTCATAATCCACTTAAATTCCCCTTTAAACCTCGATATCCTCCTTAATCCAAGGGCGTAGCCAGGGGGTCGATTTCAATGGGGGGGGGGCTAACGTTGGGTATCGCCAAAATTTTGGCTTTACCTTGGCGTTCCAGACGTAAAATCCCACAACATCCCTCATAATTCACTAAATCCCACGGCAATCCCTCTTAATCCTTTGATATCACTAATATCCCGTTAATCTACCCAAATCCTCTGAAATAATAAACTATTTTATTGATTTTCCACACGAATAAATTCCCCAAAATTCTTTGAATTTCGCATAAATTTTTCGAAATTATAGATAATTGTGGCGTAGTTGACTGATCGTATCAAAATAACAAAAAATAAACCAAAAATTTGACCTATGGGATTTAAAAATTTGGTCTTGATTTTTGGTCTTGAGTCTTGGAGTTTTGGTTTTGGTCTTGAGTCTTGGTCTTGGAAAAAATTTTGTCTTGGGTCTTGAGTCTTGGAAAAATTTTGGTCTCGGACAGCTCTAGTGATTTGATTCGACTAGACTTACAATCCGATCATTTTAATAATAGAAGTTCTTTCTTCTTCTGGCAGTGTAGAAAAATATTCAAGAACTTCAATTTCATTATCTGCCTCCGCAAAATTCTTTCCATTTTTAATAACTTTCAACGCTGTACATTGCTTATTTTCTTTCAAATATGCGTGATATATCTTTAAGTTAAATTAACTTTATTACTAAATTAGCAGACTTTGGTGCAGCCAAGCACCATCACCAAACGGCCACTCGCTCATATAATGTATCATGAAAGTAATTAAATATGGTGTGTAACATAATTATAAAGGAACCCATATTTTCAATCATATCTCGAGTTTTTCTGGATGAATTGGGTTGAATTTTATATATGTGATAAAAAACCTTATTTTGGCATAACATGCAAAAAATGAAGCGGTTTTGTCAAAATTTAAATTTTTTATGATTTTTTTAAAAAATTCAATTTTTCTATTAACACCAAGTACGAGAAGTACGAGCTCGTACATACTTAGGCCTTGTACCTCCTACTTTTCACTTTTTTGGCCTCGTACTCGTACTTCGTACCAGGTACGAGTACGAGGTACGAGTACGAATTTTGGTACGAGTTTCGAAGCACTGATCATTGACTTTAAATTAAAAAATAACATTAGAATCTAATAGTGAAACTATATTTTTTACAAAAATGTTTTAAAAAATAAGATGAAATTTTAATATTATTTTATTAAAATATTTTTTTAAATTTTTAGCCATACATTTCCAAATGCCCCAACTCCAATTTTCGATTTTGAATCCATTTTATATTTCAGGTGAATAATTTTTGAATTTTCTTGATTTATTGTCATAGATTCTTTTAATTCGCTAAGTTTATATTCCCCACATTGACAAAATTTTGAAAAAAATAATTCACCTAATTTTTTCCAATGTTTGCCTACGGCAAATATTTCTTAAAATTAATTATACATAAATAGAAAATTAAAAAAATAAATTTACCTGGGGATTGTATCAATATCAGAATTAGAAAGGAAAGTAAATTAAATTTTAAAAATTTCATTACGTATCCTATAATATGAGGTATTAATAAGTGCCTGGAGCTAAAAACCGAAGAAAAATTTCCTATTTTCGGTAACTACATATTAGTAAATTTTAAAGCTAAATTTATTTTAAGTTATAGTGTAAGCGTAAAGACATTTATTTTTGAGAGAAAAGTATAGCCGAAAATTTAATTATCGAAATAATTTACTTAGACAATATTAATATTTTTTTATTTACTTATTTATAATAAATATAAAATTTTTTAAATTATTTTAATTATTAACTTTTTATTTAATTGTATAAAAAATTTTTGGGTGGGAGCGCAAGCTGCTATGTATGTCGAGTGATGGGGAGAAAAAATAATAAAGAGGAAGCATATTAACGAGGAAGTAAATTTTATAAAATTCAATAAAAATTTTCTTTGTTTAATTCTATGTATAAGTTGTAACGGAAATCCGCCCGATGTCACTCTTAATCCCAAAAATTCCTAAATATTTCCTTTAATCCTTAATGCAAAATATTGAAAATTTTCGACGGCGGCAGGTTGCGTAGTGGTAGTTTTTAAAAGAAAAGGCTAAGAAATATAGATAATTTATTCCAACTTTCATTTCGATGGTCGATAGTGGATCGGTTAAGTTGACTGACTTTGCTCACTCTGGTGATTTTTGGGGCTGGGTTCGAATCCAGGAGTTGGAAATAGGATTTGAGCAATTTATCTTTCCAACAGTACATATTTTTAAGTTTTGGTTTAAATTAGGGTGGGACAAAACCGTTTAATTTGAAAAAAACCGTTTATGGCGTTTATCTGAGATTCGCATGTTTCATTTATTTTTGAAGACCGCGTTTAAATGTCTGTTTACCGTTTATATTTAAATTTTTTAAAAACAATTCATAATTCAAAACAATAAAAAAAACATTAATTATGCTCATCCTTCTTTATAAAAATTATAATTCAACAATAAATTCATCATATCGATGGATTTAGAAGGATAAGAAGGGCTGAAGAGATGCCTGGTGATTAAAAGTGATATCAGTGGTTTGGAGATCTGGAGGATTTGAATATATCGGAAAATTGAGGTGGGATATCGGTCGATTATGAGTTATTAAAGGAGATCAGAGGATCAAGGAGATCAGGATCGTATATCTAAGGACATGAAAAATAAAAATCAGGAAAACAAACAAACAAAGTTCCGCTCATTTTATAATTTTTTTCTAACTTTGTTTGCTTCCAAACACAACGCCAATTAAATTAAAATTAATTATTTGAATATTTCTACTGTAGAATTGTAGGAGTTGACGCTGGTTTTTTATCCATAATCTTTCTTAAATATAACAGAAAATTCTAAAATTTTGAATATTTATAGATAAAAGTAGGGCTTTTAAATAGACATAAAAGTAAACAAAAAGCTTCAAAATGGAAGTTGCCGTGCTTTTTAGAAATTTCAAAAATATTAATTAGCAAATTTATTTGATTTTGCGTTACTTTAATTTTTAAAATTTAATCAGAAAAAGTTTAATCTTTTATTTAATACAAAGTTTAAAATTAAACATAGTCGGACCTCACTTTTAATTGCATTTTTTTCAAACCTAGGGTTGACTTCATGTGTGCTGGGACAGCCCCTGGATGAGGGTGCTACATGACCCGAAGAGGTATCTTTAAAACGAAGTCCGACTATCTAATTAATTAAGCTTCTTTTCTTCTATTCTTATATTTCTCGGACACAAAATTTGCCAAAATTTAATCAAAATCCATTTTGTAAATTTCCAAACAACCACCAAAATAACAGCCAAAGATCCAATTGAAAATGTTATAACATCCACAGAATAATAAATAAACCAATTTAATTCCCTGTCTCCAGGCAAATCAAGTTCTGATAAATCGTCAAATTCTGCTGCAAATTCAACCCATTTTACTAACCTATCTTTTGGTTTGAATGGAGTCAATTTTAATTTTTTGGATAATATTTGGGCATTCTGGCGAAATGAGGGGACTTTGAGGACCTTGAAAAGAAAATTAAAAGAAAATTTATTTTTTTAATGATTTTTAAAAGTTCAGTCACACCCTTGAGATTGACCCCAGAGGCTTCAAATCCATAAAAATTAGAGGGTTATTAGAAAGTTAAAGATACAACAATTGCTAATTGAGACAATTGCGGACAACTCAGAAATGTCGCCCCTGGTTTCATACCGGAATTGTAGTCTGAAATTGATTTATCGCCATAGGTGTTTCTAATGTTGGGTGTACATTATAAAGAAATTCCACTATTAAAATTTCAATTTTTACCCTTTCTATAGCCTCAAATAAAATATTTTCGGCATTCGGTCCATTCAATTCATTAACATCTATCTGTAGCCCTATACCATGTGAAACGGCAACATCAGCATTGTAAAATTGATCCCCAAAAAGGGGAATACCGATAATAGGAATACCAGCATACACTGATTCGGTTAGACTGTTTTGTCCGCAATGAGTAATAAATGCTTTCAAGTTGGGATGAACTAGAGAAAATGTTTTACATTAATAATGTTACAATTAGTAAATTAAACTTAAATTACAATTATAAATATAAACCTAAATTGAAATTGTAAATATAAACTTGAAATACAATCATGAAAATAAACCTGAATTACAACTAAACTAAATAAACCTTAATTACAATTACAAAAATAAACTTGAATTGAAATTAAAAATTAAACTTTAATTGCAATTAACAAAATAAACTTGAATTGCAATTAACAAAATAAATTTGAAATACAATTACAAAAATAAAACTTGAAATACAATTACAAAAATAAAACTTGAAATACAATTACGAAAATAAACTAGAATTGAAATCAAAATGTAAAACACAAAATAAAACTTGCAACTTTTTCTTTAAAACTTTTCGCATCACAATTCAAAAATAAACTTAAGTTTGCGAAAAAAATAAACTTGAATTACAATTAACAACACAAACTTAAGTTATGGACTTCTTTAATTTCCCACCTAAAATAGCTGGTTGTCTAAGCCACTCAAAAGTATGAACATTGGATACAGGGCTAATTAACTCAGACATATTTTTTATTGTTTCAGAATCCAATTTCCAAATAAATTGAATATTAGGGAATCGTCTAAAAGCATTTACAATTCCCTCTATAATTTTTAAATTTAATTTGGTCGTGTCAGCAATTGATCCAAACGAGAAAAGGACTGCGCCTTCAACTGCTTCGTCCAATAATTTTTTAATTTTCTTTAAAAAATTTTTTTTTGTTTAATCCAAATGTCAATTTACTGGTTCCAATTTTTTATTAGCCTCAGTTGCCAAATTATCCACCAACCCACCAATATAAACAACTTTGTTGGAGGTTGGTCTAGGCATCTCAAAGAAGGGGTTTGAGTTGACAAAGACAAGAGAAACTTTTTTTAATAAATCTTTTAAATTTGGGAAGTCTGAGCCAAATTCTTGACGAATCATCGGTTCCTGAAAATTAAAAAAAAAGATTTTTTTGGAAAATTTCCTAGAATTTTTTGAACCCCCCCCCCTATGGTTTTTCCATTTTTGGGGACCTATATCTCGATCCACAGGCATCTCCGGAAAACACACAATATTTTCACTAAATACTTTGATTAAAAAAATTTTTTTTCTAGACCTCTTCTCTCAGAATATAATTATCCATCCAAATCCAGTCATAAAATTCGTTGTAAAAATTAAAAAATCTGTAGTAAAAAGAAGATTGTAGGCCCAAATGTGAGGCGAAAGAGTCTAATAATTTATTAAAAAATAAAAATTTTTTAAATAAAATTACTTGGCACGAAACTAGCAAAACTAGGAATGTCAAATTTTCTACCAACTATCTGCAAAAAGGGGATTGCAAATGCTGCCAGCCTTGTTTTTACGCCTAGTTTATGAAAAAGTGCAGCAGAGCAATACTCATACATTTCTGCTATTCCAACATCAAACTTTTCTTTGGTTAATTGTTGTAAAAGTTTATGATGTTGTATTGTTTCTATAAAATGAAACAAATAAACCTTCAAAAAACATAAGATACAAAAACAAGTTGAGTAAAATACAAAAACAAGTTAGTAAAATATAAAAACAAATTGAGTAAAATACACAAACAAAACATACAACTAAACATTAAAAAGAAAATACAAAAACATATAAAACACAAAAGTCTCAAAAAAAAATAAACTTGGATTCAAACAAAAACTTGGAAATAGGTTAGAAAATAAACTTAGAAACATAAAACTTAAAAGAAAAAATTACAAAATTAAACTTTTTTAAACAAACAAATAAAATACAATAAATAAACTTGAAATAAAACAAAATACAAAAACAAACCTAGAACAAACAAAAACAAAACTTATTCACAAAAACATAAAAACATATAAACAACGTACAGACAAAATATAAATACTATAAATGTTTGCCTTTACAAGAAGTAGCCATTATTGGTCCAAAATGGGTCATTGGATGATTAAAATAATTTATCAACGGTCTATCGCTATTGAATGCTTCTGTTACTAGTTTAATATTTTTGATGTCCAAAAATTCAACACTTTCAGGATTTGCTTGGATAACATGAATATGTTTTACTCGAGTAGTTTCATTTTTTAAGTTTAAAATAGGGTCCATAATGAATTTAAGAAAGTGCTGAAAAATTAATTTTATTAAACTAAAATTCAGAAAAAATTTCAATATAAAAATCATGTTAAAAATTTAATTTAATAATTGTACTTTACACATATTAAACTCAATCGTATAACAAAACATGTTTTACAAGTTAAAACTTATCCTATTATTCAAAACATTTTTTACAAATTTGAAAATGTTTTTCATTAATTGTTTCCAAACACACATTTACAAACACATCTCATTTATATTTAATCAAAACATGTTCTGATATTTTCAAACTTTATATAAAACAAGTTTTACAATAGTTGTCAAAACATGTTTTAATAGTTTTTATAAAATCAGGTTTTAAAATGTTTGTAAATGTTTCATTTTATTAGATGTTTCCAAACATTCAGAATTTAAAGTTTATTGTTTGTTTAAATCAAGTTTAATTTTTTTGGAACAAAATTTATTTTTGTATTTTGCTTGTGTTTCAAGTTTAGTATTTTTGTTTGTTTCCAACTTTATTTTCTTTTACAATTTATCAAAACATGTTTTATTATTTCCAACACACAACAAAACAGGTTTTACAAATTGTAATTATGAACATGTTCATTTAAAAGGTTTTATGATTGTTCTGTAAACTTATTCTTTCCCTAATAATCACAAAAACATTTCAAAATACAGAATTAAATTTGTTAAAACATCTATCAAATTTCTAAAAACCAACCACTTCATGCCCCGCTTCAACCAACGTATCCGCAATTCTTCCCAAATATTGAGCATGACTCCAACATATTGAAGGGGAATGTACGAGTATTTTAAGAGGTCTTTTAATTGAATTAGAAGTAGCAGACGGAAAAAGCGAAATAACCAAATAAAAAACAAATAAAGGGGAAAAAATAAACATGACAAATTTTTGATTGAACTGAAAAATTGGGGGGAAACAGGAAAATGACATTTCAACAATGTGTTTATATAAAAGAGTATTTTCTTTTTTCGTCAGATAGATAAGGAAAATTTGGCAATGACAACCGTTCTTAAAATTACTTAAGAATTTTTGGACCAAAAAATTGAAGATAAGTAGAAAACCTCTTTTGTTAAAAACCTCTTTTGAGGGTTTTAATTGATAATTTGTCAAAAATGAGGGGAAATAAAAATTGCAGTTTTTAATGAATACAAAGTTGTAAAACATTTGAAAGTCAAAAACAATTTTTACAAAACATCAAAACATTTTTACAAAACATCAAAACACTTTACAAAACATCAAGACATTTTTACAAAACATCAAAACACTTTACAAAACATCAAAACATTTTTACAAAACATCAAAACAATTTATACAAAACATCAAAACATTTTTACAAAACATCAAAACATTTATCAAAACATCAAAACATTTTTATATCAAAATTATGTTTACAAACCGAATCAAAGTTTAAAAACATTTCTTAAAAACATTACAACTTTAAGGAAAAACATGTTTTTTTTATTTTACGAGAACCAAAACATTGTTTATTGTTTTTACGAAACATTTGTCTTTTATTTATTATACAGCAATGTTTCTAATATGTTTTATCAAAATTTTGATTTTGTTTTAATTAAATTCTGATTATATTCCAACTTTGTTTTAATGTTTTTCTGATCTTAAATTATATTTGTTGTCTTCATTATGTTTTGGAACAATTCTGATTTTGTTTTTATAGAAGTATTGTTTTTATTAAATTCTGATTTCATTGTGTTGATGTTAATGGTGTCCATGTTTGTGTTTAAAATTTAATTCTTCTTGTGATGATTTCACTCCTTTTATCATTTCACTCCTTTTAATTTTATTAGGGGTCCATCCCACAAGATCAAACCCCTAGAGGACGCTTTTATCATTTTATCAAAATGATAAAATCAAGTCCAAGAAATATTTTTAGCTCCCATTTTAATTAAAAAAATTTATAATAAGTTAAATAATAGAGTTAATTGAAATAATAAATTAAAATAGGTCAATTCATTATAAGAATCACAATGCTACAATTAAGGAATGATGATATGTATTAATCCTTTTTTGCGGACTTCTTTTTATAATTAATTTTGAGTAAGGTTGTCGGTTCGACCAAATTCTTTGGTTAATTTGTGCGATAAAAATTAAACAAAAACTAATTTATTCGCCTGAAACATCATATACATATTTTTTATAAAAATTATCTTTTTATTCAATTATATTTTAAATCTTAAATATTTAATATTCTCAATAAAATTCACATAAGAACTAACTTAAAAATAAAATTTTTAACCTAAAAGTTATAAAAGTTTTTGATGAGTTTAAAAATTAAATCGCTCTCTTGAATTTTTATTATTATTATTTTCAATTTCTTAAAAAATTTAAAAATTAAAGGAAGTAAAAAAATATTACAAAATAGACAGGAGCATACAATTTTAAACGATTTAAGTAATAATTGCGTTTAAAAGACACTGGAAAATTAAATTCAAAATTGGACAAGAACGTTAGAATTTCTACTATCAATCATTAAATTCTCTGTTTTTCTTAGCAAAGATAAAAATTTTTGCAAAAAAAGAATAAAGCATAGACTGCACATTGAAAATTCTTTCATTAAACAATGAAAATACATTTTTGAATGAAACTACAAAAAACTGCCAAAAAATCCCGAGGCATTTAACACCCCCACACTCTACAGGTATCGTGTTGCTGAATTCAATTAATATAAAAGCTGTTTGAAAATGGAGGGAAACATTCAGAATTTCGATTCAATTAAAAACCTTCAAAACCTCCTAAAAACCAAACAAAAAATGTCAAAATTTATTTTTGCTCTTGTGATATTCACAATTGTTTTTATTCAATGCTATGGTGGAAATAATAGAAAGGGAAATCCTCAACAAGCACCTAGAAATGATTTTTCAGGTGGTTAAATAATAATAATTTTCTACGCACTACTCAAAATTTAAATTTAAAATATTCTGCATAAATTAATAATTGCAGGCGGGTGGGGTTGACTTTTTACTATTTGAAACCTGATTCGAAGAAATTTTCAATATCTGACTCAACATTTTTTCTTGACCCGAACCAGCATTAATAAGCGGTGACTTCAAAGGTCTTATTCTTAAATTGACCTTTCTTAGAGAGTTTAACATAAACTAAAATTTTAAAATGTGAAAAATTTAAACAACAATAAGTAGTGTAAAAAGATAAACTAACATTCATAAACTATCAACAAAATATTTTTTTAATAGAAAAAATTTTGAATTGCAAATAAAGTATTTAATTTTAGATCAACTGCGCAACGGGCTTACAAAATGTAAATTTTTATTAAAATTTTAATTCATGTAAATACTGGGCTGTTTCTAAACAATATTCGTAAATTATCCTTTAATAACTTTTATTCTCAAAGGACTCCTATAAAATTTAAAATATACATAAAAATATTAAATACATAAAAGTGAATTAAAAAATTAAGATGGAAATCGTAGGAACTATAAAAGCTTCGAGGTATTTTTTATCAAATAATTTAATGAGTTTTGAAGAAATTATTACTAACAAAAATATTAATTTAGCCATAAATATGTAATATATTTTTAAACTTAAGGAGTTTCAAGAAGCTTTGGATAATGATCGTGAATTTAAATTAAAGAGTGAGATTCATGACTTGATGTATGGCAAACATCCGAACTTTAAGAAAATAAAATGTATGTGTTATATCAGAATAAATATGTAAAAATATATGTACCTAATTGTTTCCTAAGAAATTAGAGAAAATGGGGGTAATGTAGATTTTGGTGTCCTTCCTTTTATCGTTACTCAAATTGAATAATTTACCAATTTAATTCCTCATTCAATTTGAGGCATTAAAACCTCCCACAATCCAAACTACCCAAAACAAATTAAAAACCTCAACCCAAACATATACGCCGCCAAATATTCGTGGCACAATCATGTAATAAGCTCAATTTTCCTTACATGTTTTTTTGCCTCAAAGTTATATTTAAAATCGAGATTCGAACTTATTAAAAGTTGATAAAATACAAAATTTGATAGAACACAAAATTGTTAAATTTAATTTTATATTTAATTTCAATAATATTTTATTCTACATATAAATAATTTAATTATTTAATTTTTAAACAGTTACGAAAGAAGAAGTTTCTGAATATTTTGGTTTCAGAGCACCAGAAGGTTCGACATAAATCTTTTTGTTTATAATTGTCAACGAAGATTTTGTTTTGATTTTTAAAGAAAACCCGATAAAAACACGATTTTAAAAAAAAACTATCATCTTAACATTCTAAAATTCTTCTTTAAGGCTTTTTAAATGACATTTATATTTTTTATAAATTGACTAGAAAAATCTTTATTAATTAAGTTATCTTAAATAATATTTTACTGGCTTCCACATAAAATTGGTAAAAATTGGCAAAAAGGTGATGTTCGGGAGAAGAATAAACCCGGCTCTGGTCTAGTTTATGAGTCAAAAGGAAGTTTATAAGTCCGATCAAAAGTTTATGAGTCAAATCAAATGTCTATGAGTCCAATGAATAATTAGTCTTGTCTGAAAAGCGCCAGACAATATATCA